TAAAAACATAGTTTTCATAGGTTTTTCATATTTAGTGCATGTCCATTGTTAGGGCATGGGATCAGTAAGACCCAAGCCAGGAATTTTCTTTTTTTTTTTTTTAAATTGTTGTGCTGGGTGGGAGTACATTGTGGTATTTACAAAAGTTCTTACAATATATCAAGTATATCATACTTGAATTCACCCCCTTTACCATTCTCCTTTATCCCCCTCATGCCCCTATTCCTGGAATAGTTTCAACAGGTCTCATTTTTACATTTACATACATGTGTACACAGTATTTGCAACATATTCACCCTCCCATGCCCTTTCCCCACTTCCTCCCCCTCCCACTGGTGTCAGCTTTCCCAGATAGGACCTGTTTCACCCTTCTGTTCTGAGATTTTGTAATAGAAAAATAAAATGACACTTTTGTGTGTTTAAGACAGCTATACAAGGAGCTTCCTTATGAAATTTCCATGTATACATGTATTATAACCCTAATTGGTTCATCTCCTCTATTTTTCTTCATTGTACCTTCGTCCCCTTCTTATGGTGATTTCAACAGGTTTAAAAATTCTGTATTCGTTCTTTTTTTCTTTTCTCCTTTTATTTTGTCATTTGTACATTTACTTACATGTGTATACATTGTTTGTGCCACCTCCCCCCGTATTCATTCTTGTATAGAGAGTACATCAACCTTATTCACCTTCTTAACTTCCTTCTTTTACCCTCCCCTTCTTGTATGTGACTAACATGCATCTAATATGAAAATTTAATATGAAGAAAAAAGTTATTATACCTCAACAAATTGCTTTTCAAACTTTTTTACAATTATGTACACATTTAAGCACAAATATGCTTCCTTATCTAGCTTCTATAAGTGTCAATGTTTTGCCAAGCTAATTTCTTCTATTAATCCCTATCCATCCATCTACACTTTTTCTCTTCCTGGAATATTTAAAATAAAATCTTAGAAATTTGATTGTCTCATCATTTTAATACCTTAGCATGCATCATGACTGAAAAGACTTAAAACTATGTTCATGCTTAACAAAGTTAATTTTCTCTTTTCACTTAAAAATCTATATTTAAATCCCTCCACACAAATTTTAACAGAGGTCATTTATATGATTTTCTTGAATCAGGATACCAGCAAGGTGTATACACTATTTTTGGAAGTTTGGGGACAAGAAAAGGTAATAGGTGGTAGTGCTATATACTTCTTATTGAATCACATTGAGGTATTTAATGGATGAGCTGATCACGTGTATTGATGCTAAGATGGATCACTGACTTCATGTAGTGTCAGCTTGATCCCTCCATTTATGTATATGTATGTATATATGTATATATTTGCATTGCTGGGATCGAACCCTATCTCTCCATTTTAAAGGTCCCCATTGATGATTATTGCTTAGGTTCAATGGTTTACGCAACAAAAGGTGATATTTTTATCATTCCTTCTATATTTATTAGTTGGAATTCCATAAAAACTAACTTTCTACAGCAAGGGTAAATATGGTGGATGTATTTTGTATACATGTATGAAAATAGGACAATGAAACCTATTAACATTTTTCTCAGAAGAGATGGAGAAGAATGGATGAGGGAAGGGAGAAGGATGGATGAGGTAAATCTAATTAAGGTACATTGTAAGCACACATGTAAATGTCATAATGTATTCCGCTGTACAAATATGCAAAAAAAAAAAAAAAACCCAACCTGTAACCTTCTATCATCAACTCTTTGGTTACCTATTTTTTTTGGAGGTACTTGGGTTTGCACTCAGGGCCTTGTGCTTGCCAGGCATGCACTCTACCACTTGAGCCAAATTCCCATCCTCTTTGATTATCTTGAAATACATTTCACATAGGAAAGGTAGGATAAATATTTGACCTTTCCCTTTATAAGAGTAATCGTAAGGGACCAGGCATGATGGTGCATGCCCATAATCCCAGCTACTGAAGAGGTGAAGATAGGAGGAACATGGACCAAGGCTGGCCCAGGCAAAACTGTGAGACCTTATCTGAAAAAAAAAAAAAACACTAAAAGACAAAAGGACAAGGATGGAAAATAGGTCACACTTAAGGGAGGGCACTAATGGGAAGAAGAGGGTAAAAGAAAGAAAGAAAGAGGATGAATATGGCTGATGCACTTTCTATGCAAGAATGAATATAGAATTTTTAAATCTGTTGAGGAGAAAAATGGGAACGAACCAATTTGGGATATAATATATATATAATATATGTCACATATATGATATAATATATGTCACATATATGATATATAATATATGTCACATATATGATATAATATATATGTCACATATATAATATATATATCATATATATGATACATGTAAAATATATATAATAATATATATGATATTATATATACACATGGGAATGTCATAATGAAACTCCTTATCCTAAACAAAAATGTCTTTTTTCAAGAATGGAGGACTTGGGGTAAAACAAGTCCTGTCCTGGGGGTTGGTACCTGATGGAAGGGGAAGGTATAAGGAAAGGGTAAAGGAGGACGAGTATGAAGGACACATTATGTAGTCATGTATGGAAATGGAAAAATGAGACCTCTTAAAACTATTCCAAGAAGGTGAGGAGCAGGGATAAGGGAGAATGATGGAGGTGGTGAATGTAGCTAAGATATATTGTAAGCACTTTTGTAAATGTCACAATGTATTCCCAGTACAACAATAATATGGTAATAAAAATGAAAAGTATAAAAATTGTTATAATTATGTTTTATGTACATTCTAGGTTAACAAAAAGAAATTACAGAGAGCACACAAAAGAAAATGAGAAAGAAATTTCTGAGGGTTGGATGTAGTTTGTGTGTCTCCCCAACTATTAAGTTGAAAATAAAACAAACAAAACCACCAAAGGACTGGGGTGTGGTTCAAGTTGTAGGTAGAGCACTTGCCCAAAAAATGCAAGCCCATGAGTTCATTCCCAGTACTACAAAAGAGAAAAAAAAGAGTAAAAAGACTAATGAGTGCATTCATTAACAGTATCCAAATGCAAACTAATGAATGTTTTAAAAATCATTATGAACTCATGGAGTTATATATACTTATATGATTGATCAATTGCAGTAGCTTTTATTAAATTGTTTTTTCTCCAGCCAGAGATAACCTCTTCAGGTTGATTACTATATTCTCTTGGCATGGTCCCTGATAATCTATGATATCTTCCAAATTTCTTGAGACATTTAAAATACAATCAGGCTCATCTTGTCAACCCTGACTTGTAGTTCCAATCATCCATTTCTCCAATAAGACTGTTATGGTATTTGGAAACCACACTCTGAATTATTTCTTCTAGGTTTATCTTTCTTCTTTTTTGTTATAGCCCAATTTACATATTTCAAATGGACAAAATTATTATCATTTGCAGTATCTTAAGATAAATTGCCTTTGACTGTGTAGTGAACAGGCCCAGGAAAGCGTGCACGCAGTCGAGGCCTTCAACCACACTTGGCCAGCGACACACGTGGAGGACCCGGAGCCACTTCAGTTCACACATTTATTGAGGAAATTGTTAACACGCGTAAGGGCTCAACAAACGGGAGAAGGGGTCCTCGGTGGCAGCGTCACCAATTGAAAGCTGGTTCTTGTGAAAGCGAGGGGGAGAGCGTACAAGTGACAGAATCTAGGGAGCATTCGGGCCCACAGTAAGGCTGTTGTGGGGCGGGCAGAGGTGACCACGGTAACCGGACTCAGGAGCCGGGCATCTGACCTGGAGCGGGAGGCCAGAGCTCGAAGGTTCTGGTCGTGGTGGACTGGTGCATTGACATGGGAGATCAAGAATGACCGAGGAAGGTTGCCGGCCAGAGTGGGAGAAGGTTGGCAAGGAGAGGCACCCAGAAATAGTCCCTTGACGCAGGTAGACGCTGCTTGACTGAGAAGGACGCGGAGAAGTGCCGCTGGTGGTCAGTCCAGCTGGTCGTCTTTTATAGTGTCAACTCGCCTGTGCTTCTTGGGCGTAGCCTGTCCTGCAGGGTAACGGATTGGTTACACCCTTGGGTGTGTATGGTTGTTGGAGGGTGTGTCCTCAAGCTCTCCCATCCTGTGCTGGCTCATCATGACGTTATCACATCTTGACATGAGTGACTCCATATTGTCCATGTTCGTGTCAGGCTAGGAGCTTCCTTTCCAGTACTTGAAGTCTACAGAAGTATCCAGGACATGGTCTGCTGTGGAAAATGAAGACTGTCAAATCAAACGTGGACTGTGGGCTCCAAATAATCACTTGTAAAACTGCCCATCTAGTGGCTGAGAGAGTTTCATGTTCTCTTTAGACATCATCAAATGCTGAAGCTCCTGGAGGACATCTTTGATGCTATATGAATTTTGCCACTTGGCTAGCACTGATGAGGCTCTTGAGTCCACCACCATTAGCTGTCAACTCCATTCACATTAATTTTCATTACAAATCTCACAAAAGGGCAGGTGCTTTTGGATATTTAGGTCCACATTCTATTTTATTGATGTGTATTAGGTTTTCATAAATTGTTCTTTGAGACCCAGTTATCATCCCTGTCCATCTTCTGGCATGTCTTAGTAATCTTCTAGACCCCAGCTAAATGTGCCATCTCCTACTCCATTCTGGCCTTCTCTGAATTCTTCCAACATTTGGAAATTGCAAGAGACTTTACTCCTGAGTCCACGGTGGCTGCCATCTTGTGTCACTGTCACTCAAAGGATCTTCTTCTTCTTCTAGGTTTCCAGGTCAAGGGAACACTTAGTAGGAAAACACTGAGGAAGAATAGTCCTTAGCAGATATTAAATGCTTATCGTGAGACATCCACAATTCTGAAACACTTCACCTGCATTATCTTGTTTCTTGTTTTCAACAACCGCTTGGTGTATATAATTAACCCAGTTTTGAATATGAGGACGCTGAGATTGGGAGAAGTTAGATTATTGGCCCTGTCTTTGCTTGCAACATAACTTTAAGGCCTCAAACTATAACCATGAATCCTGATTTTTATCTCTCCAGGCTTTCATGAGAAGGACAAGAAGCCATATTGTCGAAAGGATTTCTTAGCCATGTTCTCACCAAAGTGTGGTGGCTGCAACCTGCCAGTGTTGGAAAACTACCTTTCAGCCATGGACAATGTCTGGCACCCAGAGTGCTTTGTGTGTGGGGTCTGTATACTCATTTGTCTTTTGGATTTATGGAAAACTCAAGGGTTCTTCTCTGTAGAGAAAGAATTGCAACACGTAAAAGGTTTCACAGCTCCCAGTAAGGAATTCATGTGGACTTCTTAAAGGAGAAATGAGACACAATACCCAGTCTGGGCCTTTGCTTGTCTGTTTTATGAGTAGGGAGATTAACATCCATTTGTCACAGACCTGAGAGAAATTCCTATACCTGGCAGGAATTTCAAGACAGAAAATTTTACTTTGCTGTTATTTTACCTCTTGATATATGCATTTCTTTTCTGTCTTCTTTCCACCCTCAGGACTGCTTCAGCAGTTTTTCTACTGGCTCCTTCTTTGAACTGGATGGACGTCCATTCTGTGAGCTCCATTATCATCACCGCAGAGGAACTCTCTGCTACGGATGTGGGCAGCCCATCACTGGCCGCTGCATCAGTGCCATGGGGCACAGGTTCCATCCTGAGCACTTCGTATGTGCTTTCTGCCTGACACAGCTGTCCAAGGGCATCTTCAGGGAGCAGAATGACAAGACCTATTGCCAATCCTGCTTCAACAAGCTCTTCTCACTGTAATCTTACCTCTCCACATCCTCTTCAGATTGCCTACAAAATTTTAAGCCAAGATAGGAAACAGTACATTTGCTGTTATTGACCTGCTCAGTAGGTTTGTAGAGAATGTAAAGGTGATGAGCAAATAAGGGAACTTCTAGATGATATATAACTAACTTGGTAATTTTATTTTTTAAGCTCTACTCTTACTTTATTTTAAAAATCATACACTTAGATTTAGAGCTAGGTTCTGCTGTCTGGTCCTTCTGCTGGTGTATTTTGCACATGTGAAGTTCACTTCACCACTGGTTTTCTCTTCCTCCATTTTCACCTTTTTTGATGGTCCTGTTCAGATCTTTTTCTATGACCCTCAGAATCATTGTTCAAGCTTCCCTTATTTCCCTGTGGCTCACTGTCCCATTATCACTGCTACGACTTTCTCTTTGCTTAGGAATCATAGTAATTACCTTTAAGCTCTTTGCATCTCCCTTCAATGTATTTCTCTTTTTTAAGAGGAAGTTGAATTTAACTGACATCTTTGATAAATAAAATGGCTTGTGGTTTTAATGACTCATTGTCATATTACTTGGTAGATTTTCTGCTTCCTATGTTAAGTAGACATTATTTGAAGTTAAATTTGTATCTTCTTTTTTCTTTCCATATAACAGACATTTGTTTTGTAAATTAGAAAAAATTAAAAGGAGAGACTCTTATTCACTAACTCTTCTCTTTACTTTTGGGCCCATAACCATTTATTTTGGGATTTGGAGTTAGAGCATTGAATCATCTTAAAAGGTGGCAAAGCTTCTTAAAACTTTTTATCACTTTATTTACATAAAGAGAAAATGTGGCTCTCCACTGGCACTTTCCAAAATCATTTCTTAAAACAAAACAATTTCTTTTCTTCCCTTTCTTTCTTTCTTTTCCTTCCTTCCTTCCTTCCTTCCTTCCTTCCTTCCTTCCTTCCTTCCTTCCTTCCTTCCTTCCTTCCTCTTCCTTCCTTCCTTCCTTTCTCTCTCTCTCTCTCTCTCTCTCTCTCTCTCTCTCTCTCTCTCCTCTCTTTCCCCCATCCCTCTCTAGATAGGTTGATGCCCCATAGTCCAGGATGACCCTACAACTTGTGATTCACATGCATCTGCCTCCTAAGTACTGGGAGTACGAGTGCGTACCACCAGACTCAGATACATATTCATTTCTTAAGTCAAAACTGAGTCATGTATCTCCCTCAACTTCATTATTGCTTCATGATGACAAATGAGATGGTTGTTTTCAGAGTTTCTCTGAAGGAAGATGTTACAAAGATCAAATTATTTCTTCTAGTTTGGAGAAGGAGAGTCAAGCCTCAAAGATTTATCTTCTCTTCATTATTTGTTCCTTTCAAAATATTATAATGTTTTTAAAAAGCTTTACAAGATATTAAAGAATCTGACTTTCTTTCATCTTATCAGTTTGTTTATTAAAGTAGGTTTCACATAGAATCATCCTTCTATAAAATAGATATTGATAAGGTCTTTACCTTTCTTACCATGGTTCAAAAAATAATTGTATGATTGTTTGTTATAAAAAGCACAGAGTTTTATAGTTTTGGAATACTTGATTCTAAAATAAGTTAATAAAAACTTTTTCACTGGAGTTTTATTTTTTTGTTTTAAATAAGCCCAACCTCATCATCTTTAGATTCGTATGGGAATAGTACTTGTTGGAGAACTGAAATGGATTACATCATTCTTGCCAAGATTTATTAAATGTATCTTCTTTGTTGGAATGGGTAATAAGGGAGTTTTGAGAGTTAAAGGAAAGTAGTGACAGTTAATTCTATAAAATAAGAACTCCAAATGCATGTAAGATATGTGGGAGGCTACACAGATATGGAGCCATCTGGCCTTCTATCCTGTTTGGCTGACTGAACGCTCTAGACTAAGCAAAATACAGTTTCAACTTCTAAATATCCTCTTCACTCTGTCCTCACTCTATGATGTCATGCACAGATGTTAATATGGCAGACTTCACGCACACCTTGGCAATTTGACAAAGTAAACTTGGGGTTTTGGTCTTTAGGAAGGAACGCTCAGGTGCTAAAAGGTTTTTATTTATTTATTTTTCTTAAGAATTAGCAACTTTAATATTCTTTTAGGGTCTAAATATTTGAGAATGTCAGAGGGATGTCAGAGTTTACTAACATGCAATTACATGTGAGAATGTTTTCCTTTCACAGTAAATGTAAATGGTTATATTTGTTCAAAAAGATACTGTGCTCAGGACCAGTCTTTTAATAAGGAAACCACTTACAAGTAAAATATTTTCTTAAAAGAAAAAGCAACATCAGAAGTACAGTTACTTAGACTGATCACCTACCTACATACCCTTGTAACTTCTAGGAACCGAGGGTTTGAAAAATAAAACTCTTCTTCCAGGAGAGGCCTTTTCACCATTGACTATATTTGTATAGATAGGAAAATGCCATAGATTCAAAACTATTCTCAAAGAGGAGTCTCTCAATTGGTTTGACCAGTTGTTCATTGAAATAAATATGGACTTGATAAAGACAACTAATTTTTCCATACAAGTTCTATCATGTTTTCCTCCCATGGCTTGGCATAGTTGCCAGCCATGTGCATTTCATTACCAGGAGAGAGGAGAAAAAATGATTTTCTCTAGCTTTTGTAAGAAAAGACCTGAGATTCATCCTAATTGAACTAGCTCAGATCACGTGCTCACCAGTGATTGATTGGTTGAGCTGGGAGAATGGATTGTGTGCAGCTTGGCTTAAACCAAAGTAGACCATTTTCATTGTGTTCTGCAAACACAATGGCTCTGTGCAGGAGATTTGAGTACTTAAAAATCTGCGTATTGGTAAGAGGTGGATAATGGATCTTGAGTTTGTATATCCAAAAGTAAAAATATTAGCGTTTCTGAATTTCAAAGTACTATAGCAAGTAAGCAAGTAGGTGTTGCTAGTGTCTTAAAAGAGTGTGTCTGAAGAAGTTTACAGAATTCTAAAACAAAGGAATGCCAGGAATGATAGTGTCATGAGGAGCGTGGCAGAGGTGGTGGTCTCCTCTAAGCATACATTAAGAGGCATCAGAAACAGCTTAAAGGTGAGAAAAGGTGACACATTCCTTTAAGGCCAATGTGCTAGGAAGAAACAGATCTTTAGCAAGGGCAGTGGCAGCACCCACTAAAATAGCAGACTGAAAAGTGACTTTCCACCCCCAGGATACTTCAGAGATTGTTACGAGACAAAACTTCCATGAGTATGACATCTAAGTGCTGCCAATCCAGAGCTAAAAGGGGAAATGGAAATCTACTGAGATCCACAGGGTAAAAAAAGAAAATAAATCTCAAATGAGGGCTGGTGCTTGGGCTGTGCTTGTTACAAATTTATAACTTTTCCAGAAGGCAGCAATGTCTCAAATCTATTCTGTAAGAAATGAGACAGTTTATGTAGGAGGTTCCCCACCCCAGATATGATAAAAAACATAGTGCTTAAATTAATATCCCATGGGAAAGTATCTTTTGAATTTAGGTTCACAGACCATGGATTATGGACAATTGAATAGATTCCCTGGTACCTTGGTGAGATAAATCCATCTTTCCTTCCTACTTTGGATATCACTAAATATTAACAACTGCTATATTCAGGGAACAATATTTTTAAAATTTTTATTTTTTAAAGAAGTATAAAATTTATTTAAATCTTAGAATAACATTTTTGACTAGGACAATTACCCTAGTCCACCAAGTGATATCTCAGATCACAGGTGTCAATGGAAAAACTCCAATAGCTGAGAATCAACAGACTAAGAAACTTTAACCTAAAGGAGAATTTGATTTTGATAGCTTTTTTTTAATCTGGTGAAACTGTGGTTTGAACTCAGTGCCTCACTCTTGCTAGGCAGGATCCCTACTACTTGAGCCACTCTGCCAGCATGAGAATTTGGTTTTGGAAAGTGATCGTTTTGGACTTTGATATGCTGTGTTGAGTAAGGTGAATGGACATAATGAGAAATGTAAAACAGGGTGGGAGGATATTTTTCAGCTTTCTTTGCTTCCAATCCCCTAGTGTAGTTTATTCACAAGGAACTGCATCTCCCATTTTTTGTGTATGTGTTTAGGGAGGACTGACTTAACTCTCGGCTCTTCGAATGGGCACAGTTCCAAGTCTGGCCAGTAAGGGCACCTTGCTCTCCTAGACTAACACCAGGAGTAGGCATATGACCAATTCTCTTGCTCTCTAGGACCTTGATAGACTTATTGGGAAATAACATTCTCATTTGTCGAATTGCTAGCTGTGAGGATAATACAAACTCATTGCTGGTGAGAAAAAATGAGAAATATCATCATTATAATTTAGGGGTAGCCTGCCTGAGAAAAAAGTCAACACAAAGGAAAGTAGAACTGAAAAACGGAGAAGCTGTGTTTTCTTTTTTTTTTAAAGAAGCAATTCTACCACCTTAACCCTGAACTGACATTATGTGGACAAATAAATTCTTGCTTTCATTTAAACTAACTTGAGTTGTAATTCTGCCATTGACTGAATAAGCAGAGCAGATAGTCTCTCCTTTACCATCTTAAAGTATAGTGAAAGAATGAGTAAAAGAACTCAGTGTGGGCATTATACATTGTACTTCATCATGAAACAAATAGACTGAAAATAATACTTCATCACTTCTCTATGTTTTTTATAGCAGAACAGGGAAACATCTGTATTTTAAGGTTAAGGCATGCTGTGGTTAGTTCATATATTTAGAATACAAACTTGTTCCTGTCCAATTTGCCATTAAAATTGAGTAATTCTTGTTAACAATACTAAAGGAAAAAAGGATGAAGAAAATGCTGTCATCCTCTGAGACCCAAAAATATTTTGGAAATCATATAATTCATGCTGTTTGTTTAGTTGCCATTCATAGCAAACTACTAAATATTTAAGGGGGGTAAATATGATTACAGTATATCATATGTATGTAGAGGAAATATCACAATGAAATCCCTTATTTTCAATTAATATGTGCTGATAAAAATAAATTTAAAATTATTAAGTATTTAATGTTCAGTTTTGTGTACTTATAATAAAAACAGTTTAATGATCTTAAGAAACTTGCATTTATACTGTGCCTTAATCTTTTTGGCTTCCACAACAAAAATACCACGGATTGCCTTTAACAACAGAAATTTATTTTTGCACAGATCTGGAGATTAGAAGTCCAAGATTAGGGTCTGACAAGTTTGATTTCTGTTGAGGGCTCTCTTCTTGGCTTTCAGATAGATGCCTTTTTTCTTGTGTTTCCTCACATGGTGGCAGGAGGGAAGAAGGAGGGAAAAAGGGAAAGATGAGAGACCTTTCTGCTATCTCTTCTTAAAAGAGCACTAATCCTATCAGATGAGGGTGCCACCCTTATCACCACATTTAACCTTAACTACTTCCTTATTCCAAATACTGCCACATTGGGGCTTAGGGCTTCAACACATTTTGTGGTGGTGAGGCGCACATACATTCAGCCATAACATCCTGAAATGCTGTAATTAAAGAAACTGGATTTACAAGAGATTGAGGAAGAGAAAGAAAACATTTCTAGTAATTCTAAGAGTTGGTCCTAGGGACACATTCCATTTATTTGGGGTATTGAGAGTGAGAATTTTCATTATGTTCAATGACACTTAGAAAAGATGACTTTCCCTCTCTGGGTGCTCTCTCATGTTTCAGGTATAAAATAAGAAATATCAAACAGTCAAAAATAAAATGTGCAGTTTAAAGGGAGATTTTCTTAAGACAATCTGAAAATTTTGAAGAACAGGAAAAGTAGGACAAAAAGAATAACAGGATATATAAGAAAACCTGTGAGTTGGACAAGGTAA